GGTCACTTTCCCCTCGCAGAAGTTAAACTATTCCTCCCAGTTCCCTGCTGTCAAAATTAGAGCTCCTGCCTCAGGGCGGGACAATCAGGTAAAATTATAGTAACTTAAGCCTATAATTTAATATCTCTCCGTTTATAGATAACAGTCATGACGAAAAAATGTTGAGCTGTGTTGCACAAGAAATATTCCCCGAATATAACGACATAAAAGGAGGGTGGGGGAAAAACAGTTTAGTGTTTAACTTTCTCACTGGTGATTTATATCAGAAACACGCCAGATAAAATCCAGTTCATCGGAAACAAGTCTGAAGATGGTAATTGTCGAAAGAAATAAGTTAAATTCTCTTCCGCGTTACGACAATGACTGATTTTCCAGAAGTATTTAAAATAGTTATATAAGCAGTCGTATGTTTGGAAAACTACGAAAGGAATTTCACAAAAAAAAAAAAAACTTACAAAAATTAGAGTGTTTGTTCGGCTCTGTATTCCACAGAGCATTACAATTCAGTACAACAAGCCTACGTGTGTTATCCGTTCACATGAATCGTCGACACTAACGGTCGCTCTTTACAGCTTCCGCGCACACAGAATGAACGTAAACACGACAGAAAATTAGTAGAACGGTAAATCGTGGCAGGAACAAACCTCCTTCTCCACTGTGGTAAAAGTTTACACGGCAAAATCCGATCGGTGAACAAATAAGATCCATGTATTAAAAACTCTATTTCTGAGCAACACACACACAATATTAAAATTTGCAACATTAAATATTCAATAATACGAATAAGAAACAAATGGTAACTTTCACACTGGAAAGATTTGCATCAACAACAATGAACATCAATGACAATGACGTATATGAAGTCGTATTGAATGAGTTAACTTTTGTACATACATTGTTACGATGACAATCATATTAAAAGCACAACAGATCGTAAATCAGAAATGACATTTCCTTGTACTTCGTAGTTTTTATATTAAAATGCATAAGAAACGTGAACAACAATAGTACAAGAACAAAAGTCTCGCTCAAGGTAAAATACAGTACATTACATCCCATCAAGTAAGACCATAATAAAATGTTCTGCCAGGCCTTGTATGGCCACAGGAAGAAATCCGAACAGGACTGTACATGAACTAAAATTAGCAGTGACTCATACAAACTAATTTCCCGTAAAACTCGTAAGTGAACCGCTTTTGTGTCTCAATGCGAATGAACAAAGAGTTACGCGAAGTGATCTCCAAGGTTATTCGACAAAAACTTACTATAAGAAAGAAAATGAAATCAGACGTACGTACGTCAAACTACGACAACCCTTAAGGGCCTAATGAGAATAAACTTCGTGGTGAAGACCTCATGTCTGTTCGTAATCCGAATTAATTCTGAAACCCAGTTCGTAGACACCAAGAGGATATGTTTTTTATAATAATCGGTCCGAAGGAGTCCAGTACCATGTGTGGGCTTTGAAAATGACTTGGTACCCACACGACGTGACAACCCAGAAGACGACCTCAGACACGTTCTCCTGTGTCTTGGCACCGCGCCTCGCTTTTGGTTACGAATGACCGGTCATCTTCACGCATCGACGGCCTTCACTCCCTGGGAAATGGTCAACTAATTCCCGTCAGCAAGAGACGCTACTAGCCCGGGGCAAGTCTACCTTCCTGCACCAATTCCAGAATCAAGAAACGAAATCATGAGCATTTAGTCCGTTATCAACCGATTAACGCCTTTTTTAAGTAGATAATCACAGAATGCTGAGTTATCAGGTGGTAAAAACAGTTACCACTGTTTTAAACGATAGAAATTATCGTATTTATCAGACACACACGGTTTTGTGCGCGAACACTATTCCACAATTATTCAATTCAATTCAATTCTTTATTATTTGTTGTATGACGCAATACTTAACAGACGTTGGACGCTAATAATTTGGCGTGGCTCTATTGCGCATGACCGCCACACTCTCTCCTCTACATTGTCCAACAATCAGTTTATTACGGTCTTCAGAGCTGTAATTGTTGCTTGCGGACAATACCCATACAGACAGGCTCACTGTGGATCCACGACAATGCACTGGATACAACATAAACTGATCATTGTCCCAGATGAAGATGTTTCCGACATAAATATTTATTATTCTGGTATACTATCACGATCGGAGGTCGAACACGGTACCTCCACAATATGAACGAGGAGTGTCAGATTCTCAACAGCGAAAATGTTTCATGACGAAAAGGAAACAGTTTTTAAGTCAATAATCGATCACGTTTGCAACTGCGTTAACAATTGGCAACCTTTCCTACGTTAAATTTTATTCGATCCATTACTTAGTAGCAACGTTTGTCATTTGTTTTTAACATGGTAACTTAAGACGCAGTTTTTCACTGTGGTGAAACGACTTTAATAATAAAGCATTGTTAAACACCACAGTCACAAGCAAAAAAAAACAAAAAACAGTTTAGTTGTATTAGTCTTTAATTATTCACAGAAGCTCTAAATGTTCCTACACGAATTAACTCGTTCAGAGGACGGAAACAGTGAAGTCTGGCTAAACATTTCACCACGACTTGTAAATTGAAAACTGAATGAAACTGTTGACAATTGTGAATTAAATCAACATTTACTGGGAAAGGGATTTATATTTGGGAGGTACTGAGTTCAAACATCGAGAGGGACTCAAATGCTGACCAAAGTTTCTCGTGGGTTTCCTCAGTCAATGGTAAAAAAAAACGAGCCACGATCACTGTTTTTGAATCATACTGCAACGGTGACACAGCGCGCCATCTTTGAGCCCATCTGTTCAGTGAACGTATTTTTAAGGGTCCAAGCTGGTCTTGAAGTCCGTGTTCATACTGTTCAAACATAACGGTAATATCAGCTTTCACCAATGCCACGCATGGCCGTTTCGCGGATACGGAACTCAACATTCTACGTTAAAACGAAATGTAATCCGAAGAAGCGAACAGAACTAGCATTAGAAATCCGCTTTTACGTAATTGGCCCTTTGATGGCGAAGCATAAATAATATACAAGAATTCAGTCCGTACCGCGAAGAAAACACAAGGCTTCACAGTTACAAAATCAACTCGTCACATCTAAAAATATTTAAGAATTCAGTCCGTACCGCGAAGAAAACACAGCACTTCACCGTTACAAAATCAACTGATCGCGTCTAAAAATATTCAAGAATTCAGTCCGTACCGCGAAGAAAACACAAGGAACGGGAATATATCGAAAATGATGGCGCAAAGGCCTTCTTAAAAAAAGATGACTGACCGTCAGCTTGTCAAGACATTCTCCGTCTTTTTATGGAACTCCATCTTCCTAGGTGAGATTTCAGGTTCTCACAGGCGACAAGTATGAACCAGCCATGAACCGCGCCTTCACGAGTCATCATCTACTTATTACGCCACGATGCACTCTCATGTTTCTGACAAGGAAGACGGCAACAGGGTGGAGAATATTGGAATGACGCAAGTAGATAAGATTTAAAATCCGTCCGCGGACAGCATAACGAGTCATCTGTACTTAATATTACCTTTTTTTTAAAAAAAAAAGTGTCTCCTTACGTTTGGTATTCATTATAACCGCCCGATCTGTATCAAAACAAAAATAATTCTATAATTTTTCACAAAGTACTTCAATAACAAACGTAATTACAATCTGGTTTTCGAGCTGATTCAATCGTATGGTGTTAAGATGACGTTTTACGACACTCCAGACGCACATATAAACACACCCATTCTCAGTTACCATTTGCTACAGCACAGAATCAACAATAATGAAACATAACAGATGCAATTGTTAAGGAACTTCAAGGAAAGTCGACCAAGATTAACCGTTAACTTGTCTGATTTTTAAATTCCTCGTATTTCCATTGTAATGTATCGTGTATCACGCAAGATACGCCAACAGTTAGATTCAACTTTTGACACACGGCAGAACACATTTCTTTCACATAATTCAAACACCACAGCCGAAAAGAATCGCGAGTTAACCCAAGCGTGTTAACGTTCAACATACCTGAAGGACCGTGACTTAACATCACAGTCGATTACACACAGACTAACGAGTTGACATAGAAACAACGGAATCCATGACTTAACAGATGCCACTTCGAAAAAAACTGGACATAACATTTGATGGAAAACACCAACCGAACATCGGAATGTGGTTAAAGACCAAGATTCTTGCTGACAGAGAGCAAAGTTGCTCCTATTGTAACAAAAGTGATGGTGTTTCCCGTGACGAACATTTGGATATATTTAAACACAACATCAAACCCGAGACTGTAAACACTGTCAATTGAAATGCGTTATGACGGCGTGCACAAATATTCAGGTCGATGCGATTACAAAATGGTTATGAACAGGATTTTTTTAACACTTCGGTAATTGTTAAACGTGTGAAAACAACTTTTTAAAGTTGGGCCTATCCCCCCGCAAGGCAGTTGGTATACACACTGCCACACTCACTATTCTCGAGATACGAGACAGGAACTTACCTGTTGCTCTCAGGCGTGACCGCGTTCCTTAAAGTTCACAGACCACAACGCCAACCTCTCGTCACCACGGTACGCTTAACACTACACCAGCAAAACGCAGACTGGCTGCAGTCCCACAGCCTGATGTGCCCGCTTGGTGGGGGAGACTGCATTTCTCTACCCCACCCAGCTTCTCGCAACTGCATCATTCTTGTCCTGCAGAAGCGTCTAGAAGTGGTTTGGACACAAACAGTTGTGATAACACGAATAAAGGTCTGCATATTTACACTCCTTTATCAACTAGCAGTAGTTTTCTTCTTTGTTGAACGACGTTTTCTATTCTATTCTGGTTATATTGTTTACATACGACGTAGTCGTGAGATTCCAAGTGAAATTTCATTACCATCAGGTGAAGTGTTCAGGAATTAGCCCTCCGCAACCAGAACATAAATAAAAAAAATCCCGAAGCTCGTGTGAGTAACATTTAAGAATCCAGTCCGTACCGCGAAGAAAACACAAGGCTTCACCATTACAAAGATCAACTGGTTAACGCTGTTTAAGGAAATAATACGACTAAAACGCTAATTAACCTTTGGAGCCGAAGCTCTTTCAAATGAAACTTAAGAATTCAGTCCGTACCGCGAAGAAAACACTACACTTCACCATTACAAAGATCAACTCGTTAACGCTGTTTAAGGAAATAATCGCTGGTTACAGCGAGAATCAAGCAAAACCCATGAATATAAAATGCAGAGTTACTGACTGTTAAAGCACGTGGTACATATAATTACCACTGGACTTTTTTTTAAAGTGTTAGAATTGTGTTGTTGAGTGTGCGCACAGGTGCTACAGAACCTATGAGCGGTAACAATGGATGGTCAGTCAGGCTTGTCGGTGACCCTGCAGTGCGAATTCAGTGGTCAGCGTTCTTAGTGTGTCCTTAAATTCGGGGGTGGGGATGGAACAGTTGAATTCTGGGGAAAATTTCTCGTGTCCAAGTTTTCTTGTTAAAAAACAGCATACATTTTAATTTTGTTGGGAGGAATCTGGTTTGATAAATGGACTTTTTGCCCCCGCAGGTCCGCGAGTCACTGGCTGGAAACCGCCCACCTGTGTCGCTATCAAGTAACGTGACTTTTCGATGCAGAATTTCACCAAAAAAAAAGCCGATCACTTTCTACATCCTCAGGAAGTACTGCATAATGTGAGATGAAAAGTAGGATTCAAGAGAACCCTCTAATGAGACAGATGGAATGGAATTTCTCCATTTCTTAGTCACACTGACGTGGCACCACGGAAGGCAAACAAATACAGTTTCGAAAACACGACGAACAGCTGACACTAAGGTGTTAACGCGGTCGAGTGGTAGGTGACTGCAAATGAAATGGAGAGAATTTGAAAGGAAGCGGTAGTGAAGGCCCTATCATGTTTCTCGAGAGACTGGCGAACTTCGTGAAGTAGAGACGCCTAGCTGTTTAAGAAATTCCCCGCAGTCCATGGAAATCGAATTTCGTTTCTAAAGAGATTGAGTAAAAGTACAAATACTTGTCACGACAGCTGGCCTGAAGGTCGGAAACTGAACCCGTGATCAGGATATGAAGCAAGAATCCTAACCACTGTACTGTGATGACTACTGACGTTATACAGCGTGACAGAGCGAATTGTCCTTGGAGCCAATGTTTAGCCCTTTGAAGCCGAAGCTCGTCTAAATTTTATTTGAGAATTCAGTCCGTACCGCGAAGAAAACACTACACTTCACCATTGCAAAGATCAACTGGTTAACCTTGTTTAAGGAAATAATACGACTAAAACGCTAATTAACCTTTGGAGCCGAAGCTCTTTCAAATGAAACTTAAGAATCCAGTCCGTACCGCGAAGTAAACACTGCACTTCACCGTTACAAATATCAACTGGTTAACGCTGTTTAAGAAGTTAATCGCTGTTTATCGTGAGAATCGTACGAAATACAGAACTACACTCTGTGGGCAAAATGTGGAATTACTAATTGCTTTTAAGCGTCTCGTCAGTCCGGTCAGCGACAACTTTGGAGACCCCTGCTTTACAGCGATGGAGGGCAGTGGATGTAGGTCATCTCGCCCGAGGAGGGTGCGCCCTGCTTCGAACCCGAAGTAGGGCGCCAATGTTTGTTTAACCGCTGCGAGCTTCATTACACTTCTCACTATCTCTGTTACGTTCTAGGCGTTTACCATTCCTATAATTTATTCGGCTCTGATGTGCCATCGGTACATTAATAATCACGATTTTTTGTGCAATTTACAAATGCATAAATGAACGTATAATAGTAAGGTCATGCCTGTCCATGGGCCCACATTTCATATCTGAAACTATTCAAAGAATTGGTGGCAGACACTCGTGAAGATGGTTCCATAAAAGAACTCTTCTCCATGAATGCCTTGCAGTCTTGTAGATGGTTCCGGACATTAGAGGAGCATATACTTATCCCCATCGTCAGAATAAAATTTAAACCTCGAAAGCGGAGGCAGTATATTCCTCCAAAATACTGGCAGCCATCTACAAGACTATCGCATCATAACCCGGAAAAAACACAATTGACATTTTTACTGAATTCAAGACTTCACATATCATTGTAAAATGCTCACCTAAAAGCCTGGATAAATTCAAAACCGAGTCTGAACGTGTTACGAAACTGACACACAACGGTCGTAAAAAATAATATATTCTGAATTCCATCACATACAAAATTAATTTTATACAAGAATGTAACAGAAAAGTTTGTGGGCGATATTCAGTCGTGCCACACGACCGTCAGGTACAGCTGTCGATACTTACAATTCCACTTTACAGGCGTACCACCTAGTCGCCAGAACACACTCACTGTTGAGGCACGTGATGTTTCTGATCACATGACATAACCTACAACGCGTCACACTAGCACACCATTAAAACCAGCGTTTCGTAAGGACGACGTCTTGCGCTTGCGCAGGACTCCGCCATTAGTTAGCTTTTTGGTAAGTCCACTTCGTAAACCGGTAGTATTGGTATTTAAATACTCCATTCCTGTTTGATAATTACCGGTCGTGAAGCCTGTGGGGAAGAGACATCTGGGGAGACGTAGATGGGAGGATAATCTCAGGCGGGATCCATGGGAGATAGGAGTTGAAGGAGACTGGATTTTGTTGACCCAGGACAGGGTCCGGTGGAGGGCTTTGGTTAATTCGGTGATGAACCTTCGGGTTCCCTAAGCCATCTAGTTAGTTTTATTCCTGTATGATAAAGGTTAATACGAGATGCCACAAAATATTCTTAGGATTACATTGCGGCATGAACATAACCTTACAATCTTAGAATGGTGATAAAGATTGGGGTATGGATTCAAAAGGGAATACATTTATTTAATGAGCAAATAAAAAGTTCATTTGATACAGCAATAATAATAAATTTAAAGTGGGAGGCAAAGGAAACAAAAAATCCAAATAAAACAAAGCAAAATCCATACAAAATATAGCTGTAACAAAAATAAAAAATATGTTCTGAACACAACTTGTTTACATGAAAGAAAAACCGAATACGACGCATTTATTATTTCCACATCGCATAATTATGCAAGTACCCATCAAGAGGTGCGACGACGATACGTAACTCACCGTACACAATCAGAGTTCTGTTTCCTGATTCGCTGTATGTTCAATGGCAGAAATAAAAACAGACGAGCTGTCCCCCGAAGAGTTTCCTGTCAGTTTCGACAACATCGACGCAATCACCTGATCGGTCACGCTTGCATTCTCGTCTATATCGCTGACCGCACCAACAGTAGGCTGCATGGAAAAATATTGCTGTTCAGAATAGTTCACGTTAATCAGGAAAAAATTTGTGAACAATTTTTGGACATCTGTCCTCGCGTGGGACTTCCAAACTTCCCACTGACCCTTTCGACTCGAAGCATTATCAGAGCAATGAACCCTGGCAAGAAACACAAAATGCCACGCCACAATTAAATACGCTTACATTAATTAAATACTGTAATTTAATTACATCATGAACATCTATAGGGGAGACTTAAGCCTGGTATAATAAGGGTAATACCACTGTAAAAGCATTGCCTACAAACAGCGGTACGGTAGTTCTCCGGCTAAGAGTAGCGGTGTTCTTACCGCCGTTAACGTGAGCCGAGTTTGCTCCTTGTAGTGTCTCCGTGCTTCCGTCAGATGCTCCATCACATTCTTAAAGTTTTCCTGCAAATAAAATATGTCATTCAGGTTTCATGCAGCAGTACAGGTTAACCAACTACAACCATATTTCATAAATGGTTTACCACGAAACCATTATCAACCTCCAGATTTTAACCGGTGCCAGATTAAACGAGAGAATGGTTATGTAGTTAAGTGGAAAGCGTCGGCGTCAAGATGACTGTGGACAGTCCACACATTCACCAGGAAGTACTGAGAAAATCCATGAAAAACATCAGTAAGAATAGCTAGTCAAAATCAGAGTCAAATGAGCTACGACTCTGCTACCTCGCTCGATTTAAAACACATACCTCCGAACCTTCGTAACTACAGATGCCGATGGAGCTGACCCCAACTTTCCTGAAAGTCACAAAGCCCAGTTCTCTGCGAGATAAGGCAAACAGGCAAGGCACTCCTTGGGCCGTGGAGTCTTCTTTCAGTTGAGCTATGGTGTCGTCAATTCCTCCTGAAAATGTCAATGCACAACTTTTATTCACAAAGAAACAGTAATTAACCACCTGATCTTTGTAATGATGAAATGTCATGTTTCCTTTGAGGTAGGGACTAAATTCTTAAGTTACTATTTTGATGAGCTTTGGCTTTGAAGTTTTAAGACCCCCCCAAGATGAAAGACCCCCACTTAATGGTACCTGCACCTTGTCGTGGTGGTGGGGCTCGAGTACCTCAGTGACCCCAAGAGCTACTGGTAGGGCCTCCCTAGCCAGATTGGTCGAGGGGGAGAGGTCAGACTAAGACAGGTACCCTGGTCCTCCAGGTTGGGGGTTGGTCGCAAGGCTAACAACCTTGGACCGTAAAAAGGAAGATGTTTCGAAACCTCGATCAAAGCCTCGGACAGATGGACCTGACAGAGGACTGAATGGAAGAGGAGAATTGAGGAGGCCATCGACCGAATACGGACTGGAGAGCCATAGAAGAAGAAGATGAAAGACAAGTACTATGATCTCATGTTTTCATGGCAACTAAGTATGATTAATTCTTCTCAAGCACCGGACGTGACCAGTAGCCCGAGAAAAATTCGAAAACACAAATTCTTTGACGGCACCTTTGACTTTGGCAACTTCAAGATCAGGAGCTACTACGATCAGTTTCAATCTCTTGAGCTGCAGGTGCTTCTTAGCTTCTCGAAATCCCAGCACGTATCTGCGCTTGGCAAATGCTTTCACGGGATCACGATGGTATTGACGATCTTGAAACTTCACAATGTCCTTGAGCAGTAGTTTGACGGCACTGTTGAGTGGGACGGTTAAAGAGTTATCACAGTACCTGTGCAAAGAAAGAGGCACACGTGAAACAGTCACAGTAATTACAAGAGGTGCCAAATTAAGGAACAGATGTAAAAAAACTTCTTACAGAAAATTATCTTCTCCAAGCATCCCGACGTCCAAACACGACAGAGTCATCATGTTAACAAAGCCAATCACGGACAAGCCCATTAAAATTTACTGTTCAACACGTGAAGAAATATATAAAGGATAACACGTAACGACAAAAAAATTTCTACTCACTCTCTAAATCTGCGACTGTGGACAAAAAATCTCTGAATCACATCTGTGCAGCCATGTTTTGGTGATTCAGGAAGGACCACAGTACAGTCATCCTCCTGCATTCCAGTCGTCTTTATCGCCTCTTGAGCATTTTCAGGTACATGTGATATATTTTGTAAAAGTATTTTGGCTTTATCATCTGTACTTAAACTCAACTTCTCCTGTACGTGCTGTGTTAAATCTAAGATTTCTGTAATATTCAGATCGCCCGCCTTCTTAAAATTACCACCGCCTGCTACTTCCTCAAATACGTCAGTTCCTGTCACACATAAATCCACGCTCTCTTTTGTTTTAGACGGTGCTCTGTCTGGTGCAGTTCGCTTTACCCAGGAATCAGCTGTCATTTCATCATCACCGTTAACAACAGCGATGCCGTCAACTTGTTCCTGTGAAGACTCAGGCTGTACGTTCACATCCTGCGTTTGCTCTCGTGAAGCGCGTAGCTTCTGTCGTAATGCTCTTTCCTCGAGAATAGCATTTTTCAGAACAGTGACCTTCTTTTTCTTAGGCACCTCTTTCTTCTTGCCTCGTTTCCTCTCGGGGTTCGAAGCATCCAACTGGTTTCCTGAGTACCAAACTCTACTGTCGCCTTTCTGCACCCATCTGCCCACCTTCGACATGCCTCCCTTCTCGCCTTGTCCCCTATTACATCTTGAGGGCTGAGTCTGTAAGAAAGAACCTAACTTTAGCTTCTAGAAGTCTTCAAGCTTTACAGCTGTTTCCATCTAATCTCGTCTCCTCTCTCAGGTAATAACACAAAGTTATGCTGTGTTTAAGAGGAACTTCTCTGCGTCTTAAAAGGTCTAGAAATTAAACTGTGACAAAGTGCTGACATCTATAGCCATGTGGCTGTGGAGGCAACTGTATTCTGATTGGTAGACGTATCTTACTAACAACCTTCAGCAGAAAACCGTCCCTCAAAAAAGACCAAGTGGCTCGGAACTATAAAAATCAGTACTATTCTCCTGTTTATTTAATCCTACTTGAAGTTTCCGATAGCCATGTTCTATAAATTGTGATAAAACCAGCCTACTCCAACACAGCGTCATCGCAAAGTACGGAATTGAAATTAAACTGAGATCAATTTAAAGTATTTAAGAATAAATTTAATTGATATGTGAAAAGTTTATAATAAAACATACCACGTCCACGCACACGACACTGTGACGAGTCTGAACAATTCTTATCAAGTTTACAAGGTCCTAAGAATTTCGCTACTAGTCTTCTACGCGTATTAACCTGATCAACGGAAGATGAATTAGCGGATATTAAAGTAAAACTTGATTTTTATACAAATATATATTGAAACTACAAAAATTTAATACCATTCTTATTGAAATTTGACCAACCTCTGAAGATCCTTCACTCATACATATTTCACAGTGATATTCACCCCCTCGCTTCAACAAACATGTGTTAGTATAAATAATATGGCATATTTATATATCAGTGCTGTCAGTATTTCATAGGATTAACAAACAATAAATTGCAAAGGATTTATGAGGCAGTAATCGTGGCCTAATTTAAGGCATAATCCTTAAATCTACCTGTGGGGACAAAAACAAAAATCCCTCAATTAGGATGTCCAGTCTCTGAGCCAAAATTTAAACCTCGGACCTCCTGAAAATGAAGCAATGTGTTAAACGCTTGACTGTAATGTTCAGTCATGTGGTTTGTAACTAAATCCCAATGGGTACAAGAATAGAAAATAAATACCAAGATGTGACACAGATGATGTTAACATAGGCACATTAAGAATACACTAACCTTAATCAAGTTCATAAGATCAATCTGGATTGGGTCCTTCCTCTTTCTATTTCTTGAAGACATGCTACTTGCTGGTAAAATGGCTTCCCGTTCTGTATTTGAAGATTGATCACAGTAACTGTTATTACTTCCCAAATTACTTAGTTCCACTTGTACTTCATCTGTACGGCTTCCTTCTTGGTCGTCACCTCGAACTCCAGATGAAAGATCCTCATTTAACTTAATTCTTGGCTTCCTCGATTCTTCCACTGTTGGAAATTCCATCTCATTAATAGCTGGTGCTTCAGTATGATTGGTGAAAAATGGAACTTTCTCG